GCGGCCCATCCTGGGTGCAGAGCTGCAGGCAGTGGATTCACTTGCTATGCCAAGGCGCTCTGACATGGGTGTCTGAAACATTGCCTAGACAGCTGCACCAGACACATGCCCCTTCATGGTCCTTTCAGTCTGTGATATCACTCACAGGAGAGAATATTAATTGTCCAGGTCAAAGAATATGAAGACTGAGGGGTTCCTAGAGCCCGACTCTGCCCTTGGTTCCCAGAGGGAGGAGGTTTCTGGTTCCCAGGTGATTGTTCCGCGCTCTGGCTCGCTCTGCCCTTCCCCTCAGGAGCAGCTCCAAAGAGCCAACGGCCAGTGGGGCGAGGGAGGCCAGCTTGAGTGGAGGCTTCCAGTCCCCTCTGTCTGGCTCCTGGCTTTCCCCGGCGCTGGGGCTTTGCGGGGGTTCCCTTCGTGCTTCTTTGTTTCACTTTTGCACTGCCCAAACAGAATATCCCAACTGTAAATACACAGGAAGTAGGGGACCAGGGATGGGTGAACAGGGCTCCTCTGAGTTGGGGCTATGGCGCCCTGGCCCCCTGGCCAGGCTGGAGCAAGGCTTCTCTTTCAGATGCCCTTCCTCCCAGCTTTGTGCAGCTGCTGGGATCCCTGTTTATCATCCTGCCTGAGGTTGCTATCTGGGCCCACAAGGGGTGTGTCTGCCACAGACGGATCCACCCGGTGGCTGGGGAATGTGCCTGCCTCAGCAGGCACAGGGCACTCAGAGGGCAGGGAGAATCCGTGACGTGGACTTGCTCCATTTCAAGCACACGTTTCATAAAATATTTACAAGTACGATCATGTTACACAAGGTTTGAAACGCAAGAAGGAAAAAGATCACCCAGAGTCTCTGGAGCCAAACACAGGCTCTGTTGTTTCTATTTTGTTGAATTGCCGTAGTCTGGTGGAGGCTTACATGTTCAATGTGGGATGAACTGATAAAGGGCAGTACATATTGAGCATCTAACTGTGTGCCAGGAATTGCTCCCCGTGCTCCCCGTGCTCCCTGCATACCTGCTGAATCTGAGGTTCTTGGGGTTCAATGAATCCGAGGAAGACTCCAAGGCAAGTGAGATGATTTTATTGTCTAGTCCAAGGGGCAACCTCTTGCCATAAGCAAGAAGTGCCCCGAAGGAAATAATCGTGGGGTTTTTATAGTAAAAGATTCAAAAGCTACTCGACAGTGAGCAAGTGCCTGATTAGGGGCTAGCAGCGACACGAAACAGAAAGCATGAGACAGGAATTTACAACCTATGGGCTTGGGGGTCCTGATCATTTCAACGCAGACAGTAATAAAATAGCATGCCTCAAAGGTAGCTGTCTCTCCCACAAATCCAAATACTCCAAGATTATCCCTGTCTCCTGCCAGCCTCCTTGTTTTTCAGGAAACAGGAGATTTGCTCGTCACAGGATGCAGGTGCCTCTTTGGAGATTCCAGACTTCCAGCAGTACAGTCACCTTTACAAATAACCCTTACAGAGGTGGGTGTTATTGTGGCCATCATTGAAATGAGGTTAGTGAGGCACAGAGAAGCTCAGGGACCTGACTTAGGTCACACAGCTGGGTAGTAGAGGAATCTACTAGCAATATGGTGCCAAGAGCTTTCTGGGGCTGCTCTACTTCTGCTTGGAATAATCATTAATGCATATGTGGGCTTAGAAACACATTTAAAAATTTATTTTCTTTATTTGAAAGGCAGTACGACACAGAGAGAGACTGAAAGAGAGTACGGGTTCACTCCCTATATGGCCACAGTGGTCAGGTCAAAGCCGGCGCCTGGAATACCATCCGGGTCTCCTTGCATGGGTGGTTAGAGGTCCAAGGACTGGAACCATCTTCCATTGCCTCCCAAGCACATTGGCAGGAAGCTGGGTCAGAAGCCAAGCAGCTGGGACTACGACAGAACCCAGGCTTTGCTGTGGGATGCTGGAAGGGCAGGCAGTGGCTTTCCTCATTGTATCACAATGTGAGCCCCTGAACACATCCTTAGTAGAGACAATTTCAAACATAAGAACATGGAGACAATAATGTAAGGAACCGCACATCCCCATGACACTATAATAAATACCACCTCTTGGCCCATCTTGTTTCTTTTATATCTACACAGCTCTAGTCAGATTGACTGTATCAACAAATACTTCACTATAAAATTTTTTTAAAGATAGGGGAGTTTTTTTTATTGCAAAGTCAGATTATATAGAAAGGAGGACAGAGAGAAAGATGTTCCATCTGATGATTCACTTCCTAAGTGACCACAATGGCTAGAGCTGCACCCATCCAAAGTCAGGAGTTTCTTCCAGGTCTCACGCAGGTGCAGGGTCCCAAGGCATTGGGCCATCCTCAATTGCTTTCCCAGACCACAAGCAGGGGACTGGATTAGAGTCCCGGTGTGTTCAAGGTGAAGACTTTAGCTGCTAGGCCATCGTGCTGGGCCCAAGATAGGGGAGGTTTTTAAGTAAAATGAATAGTCAGGGACCAACATTGTGGTACAGTGAACTAAGCTGCCATTTACAACAGAATCTTATGAGCATCAGTTCAAGTCCTGGCTTCTCCACTTCCATCCAACTCCTGTTAATGCATCTGGAAAAGTAGAGGAAGATGGCCCTAGTGTATGGACCTCTGCACCCACATGGAATATCAGGATGAGTCTCAGCTCTTGGTGTTGGAACCATTTGGGGAATAAAATGGAAGATGGAAGACCTTTTTCTCTCTGCCTTTTGAATAAATTTATAAATCTTTAAAGAGAAAATAGAATAGAAAAAAATTTTTAAACATTTATTTTCATTGGAAAGGCAGACTTACAGAGATAAAGATCTTCCATCTACTGGTTCACTTCCCAAATGGCTGCAATGACCAGAGTTGAGCTGATCTGAAGCCAGGAGTCTCCTATGGGTCTCCCAGGCAGGTATAGGGTCCCAAGGCCTTGGGCCATCCTCTGTTGCTTTCCCAGGCCACAAGCAGTGAACTGGATGGAAAGTGGAGCAGCCAGAACATGAACTAGTGCCCATATGGGATGCTAGCACATGTAGGCAGGGGATTAGCCAGTTGAGCCATCATGCCAGTCCGAGAAAAAATACTTGTAAAGGGGATCCCAGTGGTCATTACCAATTGGAGTTCGTTTTCTTCCTTGTTACCCATTTATTTGAAAAGCAGAGTGACACAGTGAGAGACAAAGAGAATGAGATATTTTATCTGCTAGTTCATTTTCTACATGCCAGCAGCAGTTGGGTCTGACCTAGGAATCTGGAACTCCATTCAGGTCTCCCCCATAGGCAGGGGGATCCAAACTCTTGAGCCATCTTCTGCTGTGTTACCAGTTGCATTAGCAGGGAGCTGGAATGAAAGCAAGGTGGCCTGGACTGGACTGGTACGCCTACATGGGCTGCCAGTGTTGTAGGTAGAAGTTTAATATGCTAGCCCACAACACAGGCCCTGGTTAAGCTATTTTGTTTCTTTATATCTTTTTATATATAACCTAGCAAAATTTTCCCATAATGCCACCTAGTTTTTACAACCATATTGTAAACAGTTTTATACTATCCCATCTAAAAGACAGCCAGAAATCTTTTTCTTGGGCTTTTGGTCACTTTCAAGTTTTTACTGCTAGACATGTTACTGACATGAGCTGTCTCATGTGCTGTTTCCGGCACGTTTTCCACAATGTGACATCTGTAGAACAGCTACCAGGGACTTAGTTGCCGCTCTGAGACCTGAGGGGGTTTTGTCCAAGGGGTTATGGAAAGAAACAGAGCTCTCTCTCGGGCCCACGAGGTCTCTGTGAAAAATTGCCGACTTCTGTCTGCAGCAGGCTGACCAGAAGGAAAGGGGTCTGCATGTTGCAACTCCCACTCCCAACCCGGGGTGGGGAGACTTCTGGAGGCCCTAGGCAGAGCTTTTTCAGCCTCTGGGCTGTCTATTTAGGTCTTGATGTGGGTCTTTGCGAGTCACTGGGCCTGGAACTATTGGAGCAGCTGATTGTTCCGTCTTAGGTGATTCAGACACCTGTTCGTGGGGGGAGGGTAGCCTCATTCTAGCCCTCTCACTGTGTCCGGGAAGTCCCTCTCACCCCACAAGGGCTGGGTTCTGAGGGAAATGCACCTTGGGTTCCCTGGGTCAGAATGGGGCATCCTCCTGGTCCCCTCATATTTGGAGCTTGGTGGGTTTCCAGCTAGTGGGGCTGGCATGCTCTGATGTCGCCTGAACCTGCCATGGCAGTTCTGCCCTGCATTCAATGGATAGAAAGCAGCTGAGGGTAGGGGGAAAGGTTGGAAACCATCCAGGCAAGGCCCTCTGAGGAAGGGGGAGTTGTTCAGGAGACCTCAAGCAGCATTTACGGGAAAGAGTCCCGTGTTCTGTTGAATTTACAGAACCACACAGGTGGAACTAGAGACTGAGACTGGAATGAGATGTGCCTGAGGTCATGCCTGGCAAACATAAGTGCTCAATTGGTGTCTTGCCAGGCTAAATCTACCAACAAGGAGACTGCAGCTCAGGGCCTCCCACCCAGGTCCCCCAGCCCACCGGGGGCGAAACTCTTTATCAAGGACCCTTTCTGCGACACGGGGCCTGTGGTGACATCTGATGCGGTCCAGCTAGTCCACTTCTGAGCAGCCAAAGTGGGGGACTCTGGGTGGAGACAGCAAGTCTAAATGGAAAAACCACACTTGTGGAAGTCAGAATATCTGATTTTCGGTCCGCACGTTAATTAAAAACTCCAAATTTCTTCATCGACAAAACCCGGGCAAGGGTAAACCACACTGGAAGAGCGCAGACGCAGAACCTGAAACGGCTACCAAAGGAATACTGCCCGATCTTCCTGTTGCGTCACAGTACAACCTCCTGGCCCCCGAGGGCCCGGAGAAACTACAACTCCAAGGAGGCGCCCGGCGAGCACGCTCCGAGGCAGGGAGAGAACTGCAATTCCCAGGCGGCGCCGGGCGGGCCGGCGCGGGCCGGTGACGTCGCAGGGGCCGGCGCAGAGAGCTGATTTGGCCGGAGCTGCCAGCAGGGGTGTCCGCGGCCGCGGCTTGTTACAGCTGCTGGAGTAGCTGCGGCCCCCGCCCCCGGGCACCTCTCCCGGGCTCTCGACCTCCGACCCCGCACGGTGAGTCGGCGCCCGCGGCCTCGGAAGAGCCGAACCAGGAGGCCCCCGGGGCTAGAGGAAGGGCGAGAGTGAAGGTGTGTGTTTGTGTGTGTGTGTGTTGGGACGGGGGTGCTGGGTTGGCGTCTCAGGCTGGAGGAGCCCCGCGCCGGCTGACTGGGTCTGTGGGAGTGCAGCGACCGAGCAGATGGCCAAAGAGGAGAAAAGTGGGAGTGGGACGTCGAGAGGAGCCGGAGGAGGGGGTGGGGAGCGGCTGGGCTTCGGGGGAGAAAGGTTTGTCTGCTTCGAGGGCTGGGTGAGCGCGTGGAGGTGGGGCCTTGGACCTGGGGTGAGTTCCTGGGCTGGGGAGGCCCCGAAGTCCCACTTAACAAAACCCTAACAACAATGATCAGGACTCCGCCTCCACGCTCCTCCCTCTTTCTGGGTTCGGGTTTTTTTTTTTTTTTTTTTGCCTCTGGATTCGCCTCTTTCTACTCCTGGGAGGCTGGGCCAGAGCTGAGAGGGTGAGCAGCTGTGGCCCGGTGGGTGGAAGGGTGGGCAGCTGCCACGGACTCCAGATTGGGGTCCTCGGGCTACAGGTGTGGCTGATCCACCGGCACCCCTCATCCAGAGGTCCGCTCTTTAAAAGGCCGCCCTGACGTGGAGGGGGGAGGGAATGGGAAACAGCTCACCTGCCCCGGGCTCAGTCCTATTGACCATCTGGGCTGTGTGTGGGTGTGGAGCTGAGGGGGAGGGAAGGGAAGGAAAGAGCTTCCAGTAGGAGAGTAGTTGGCAGGACAGAGTTGCTGCAGGCCCTGGTTGGAGGCAGGTTATGAAACTGCAGGGGGGCTGGGGCTGACAGCCACCTACCAGCTGTGGCAGCAAAACTTACAGCCTAGACTGCTCGTGGCCACTTCTCCCAGCGTCTCTGCAGCTTGCTGGTGGACTTGAGGAGTGCTTGGCGTCACAGCAAAGTCTCAGGAGTGCCTCCTGCCTGGGTTTTAGTTTATTGATCTTTTCTGCCTTTGGGTGAGTCTCCTGGGGTTTTCCATTGTCAGCGTAAGGCTTCAGATTTCCCTCTGGGTGTTTGCTAGGACGCAGGTCTGGACCTCTCCTGGGCTTGTCAGGTGTTGCTACATGCCCTCTTCTCAGCCAGAAAAACGGTGTAGGGTCTTCTGTGCTGGGACTCATTAATGCTCTTGACAGTCTTCGCTTTCCCTACTCACCCCTAATACACACACACACACACACATGCACGCACGCGTGCTCTTCTACAGCCCTGTATGTCTGGTTACAGTGAAGGGAAGGGCAGCAGTTTCTGGTCAGACTTGGGGCCCTTCTTCCTTTGCTCCATCAGTAGTGAGTGCTCAGCCAGATGAGGCCCCCACCCCAGCAGGTGTGCCTCCCGGGGGCTGTGCTAGAGTAACTGGAGGCCCCTGGTAAAAAAAGGTGCCAGCCCTGGTTTGTTGGTTCCCTGGGTTTCTGTTAGGCCCAATGATCTAGCCTGCTGGCCCTTGCAGCATCCTTTAGCCAAGCTGTACCCTAGACGGGCTTAGGTTTGTTTGCTGGGAAGGTGTGCTTCTCCTGAGCTCAGGAGCTGTCCCAGAAGAGGAAACGTGCTCCCCTTCTCCGTGAAGTAAGGAACTGGTTCCTGAGCATTCTGGCCCGTGTGCGGGTTTGGTGAGGATCTCCTGGCCAGATAGGTGACTTCCCAGCAGGGGGTGGCCAATGCAAGGGAAGGGAGGCAGGCTGCTGGGCGCTTCTCCATTCCCAAGAAACATGGGAGTTTGAGCTTGGGGACAACCTTGGGTCCTTACTAGACAGGATCCTAACTCGGGTAGGGCCATGAGCCAGTGCACCGGTGCCCTTCCACTGCTCACAAGGGCCCTCAGTGGTCAGTGTACAGCTGGGCTGTGAGAAGGGCACATGTCACTCCCCAGCTCCCTTCTCCACTGCAGGTGGCAGGGACAGTCCTCCTGGCTCCTCCTGCTGCAGAGCTTCCACTGTTGGAGCTGGCCGGGGGCTGGCAGGCCAATGGGCAGGGAGGCCAAGATGGACATGGCCAGGGCCGAGGAGCAGGAGGGCAGGAGCGAGGCCGCTGGGGTGACTCTGTGTAGAGGTGTGTTGGTGGGAGCTCCGTGTCTGGGGGCTGCCGATGTTGGCTGTGCTCTGGCCTCTTCTGCCTTCACTCGGGTGGGACAGAGGGCCTTGCTGGCTTGGCTGCAGAGTGGGTGGCATCACAGCCATGAGCCCAAGTGGCTGCCAAATGGATGAAGGTGTTTTGGAGAGAGAGCCTTCTAGATCTGGGCAAAGGTTACTCCGTCTTGTTTTCTCCTTTCTTCCTCCTTCTCCCTCTTTGCCCTCTCAGTTCTGGACTGAGATTGGGGGATCCAGGATGGGAGAACTAAGGGTGGTGGGTGGAAACAATGACTCCCCCCAAATATTTAACCATTATGGTCACACCCCTTTTGCCCCTTATGGAAAAGGCATAAGGGAGGGAGCTTCCTCATGTCAGGCCTCTGGTGAGGGAATTCTGCATGAGAATTTGGGAACAAGGGAAGGCAGGAAGGAGGATCCTTAAGGGAGTGCTGCAGAGGTTGGGGGTGAGCCTGGGGTCCTGACTTCTCTGCTCTGGGCTAGAGGCTGCTTGCTGACTTGTCTTCCTAGACGCTGCCTCCCGGGCTGGCCTGGTGCTGGTCCTTGCCCAGCAGCGGGGAGTGAACAGTACTATGGCCAGATAGACTTTGTCCAGCCTCGCTGGAAAATGAAAGCAGGCCTAGAGAGTTGTGAGGAAGGGCGAGCCTGCTGCCTGTCCGCGGGATGCAGAGGGAGTGAGGGGGCAGGGAAAGTGGTGTGACCCGTCTCACCTGTGCTGCCTGTTTGCAGGGCCGCGGGGCAGAGGGGCGGCACGATGAATGTGGGCACAGCGCACAGCGAGGTGAACCCCAACACGCGGGTGATGAACAGCCGCGGCATCTGGCTGTCCTACGTGCTGGCCATTGGGCTTCTCCATGTCGTGTTGCTGAGCATCCCCTTCGTGAGCGTGCCCGTCGTCTGGACCCTCACCAACCTCATCCACAACATGGTGAGAGCCTGTCTGCAGCTGTGTGTGGGCTGCTCCCTGGCATGGCTGCAGGGTGGGAGGAGCCTGTGGGCACAGGCCAGATGTCAGGGTGCTGTACTGTCAACATCTGTGGCCAGAGCCTGGGCCCCGCTCCTATCTAACGGCCCCACTGTCCCTGCTGGGCTGGGTTCCAGCCCGTGCACATCGATAAGAAGAATCACATCAGCAGATTTGTCTGTGCCTTTGGGGTTGGGGGGCTCATGGGCCTCAAAGGGGGACCATGGAGAGCTGGATGAGGGCGTCCCAGGAGCAGGAGGGTGCTGCCTGGATAGGTGCAGAAATGCCCCTTTCTCAAATTGGGTCTCAGCTCACCCCACCCCGGCCTCTCTCTGCCCCCTCACTGCCTGCTGCCTTCCAGCAGCCTGCTCCCTCCTCATCAGCCGAGGGGGTTAGCCGGGGGCTGCAGAGGCATGTCTGTTCCATGGCTAACTCCTTCCTGTGTGCGCTTTCCTCAGGCCAGGCCTGCCCTGTCCTCCAGCGGGTCCCCATGTCCTCTGCCAGGCACCCAGCCGTTCCACCCTGACCTCCAGCCCATATCCCCCTGTCCTGGTCACACAGAGCCACGGCTGTCTGTGACTGAGTTGGGTGAGGAGCTGAGCTGGGCCTTTCTCCCTGCAGGGCATGTACATCTTCCTGCACACAGTGAAGGGGACGCCCTTCGAGACTCCAGACCAGGGCAAGGCACGGTTGCTCACCCACTGGGAGCAGATGGACTACGGGGTCCAGTTCACAGCCTCTCGGAAGTTCTTGACCATCACCCCCATTGTGCTGTGAGTGCATGGGCTAGAGGAAGACACCGGCAGGCAGGGTGGGTGGGGCAGGGTGGGGTTGGGTCTTGGGAGCTGGGAGCCCAGTCAGGCTCACCGTGTCTCTAGCTCTGACTTCTGGCATGGGAATGGACAGAGGAAGGGCAGTTTGGAGTCTTTGGGGGTCCTGTACTGGGCTTAGCTAAACTTGGGACACTTATGGTCCTGTCTGGCCCCAGCTGGAGCTCCTTCCTGCTAGTCAGGGAGGCCCACAGCCTAGGGTGACATTAGAGGGACTGCTTTGGTCTGGGAAATCTTGGTGCCGTACTGATCACTTGTGGTGTGGGAGTCTTTTCCATAATTCTTGACTGTCAGGTCTTCTGAGCAGGAAGGGGAGGAGGTAGGGTAGGGTCCTTGGCCAGTCTTGATCTCTTGGCAACCTTGGGCTCCGCAGGTACTTCCTCACCAGCTTCTACACCAAGTACGACCAGATCCATTTCATCCTCAACACCGTGTCCCTGATGAGTGTGCTCATCCCCAAGCTGCCCCAGCTGCACGGAGTCCGCATTTTTGGAATCAATAAGTACTGAGAGTGCAGTCCCTGTTCCTGCCCTGGACGGCGGGGGAGGGCTGGAGGGCCTGAGCTGCGATTCTGAAGCCAGAAGGAGCCTCTGGACACTGCCAGAGATGGGGGCTGAGCCTCTTGGCCTCGTTTTCCCCCTTGCTTCCCCCAGTAGCCGACTTGGAGTAGCTTGTAGTGGGGTTGGGGTAGGCCCCCCTGGGCTCTGACTCCTGATTTTTTGATCTTTTCCTTTTGCCTTTTGAATAAAGACTCTGTGGGGGTGGTCATAGAATGGGCCAGGCTCCTGGGCTGAACATGGGTCTGCAAGGCCAGGGCCAGAGACCCGTGTCCCTTGTTGACCCTCAAGTAGCCAACGCACTTTAACCCCACCAGGGGAGTGGAGGGACGGTACTTTTCCCCCTTGGGTCTGCTGGGTGGCACTCAGTGTGTGCTGGTCTGGATGAGTGCAGGTGTGTGAGGGTGCCCTGCTCTGGCTCTAGAGTGGGTTCAGCCTGGTTCGGTGCCCATCCCGGGTGCTGGGCAGGCAGTGGGGGGAGGAGAGTTAGGAGAGGGAAGGTGGGGTGGGGGTGTGATTGGCCTGGTCCTTGAGGTGAGGGGTTGGGGCTGCAACCGCCTTGGCCCTGCTGCAGGGTTGGGGTGAGGAGTTGAGGTATGTGGGATAGCAGCGGCAGGGGGTGGTGGTGTACAGGGGGGAGGGTGGCAGGCTTGGAGGGGTCATTTACCCTGCCTGGGGTGGTACTTAGGGAAGGGAGGCCGCTGTGGATTTGGAGCTCTGGGGCTGGTATCCAGGGGTAGACGTGGGTGGACAAGCCTGAAGTCATAGGTAGCTCAGGTCCAGTGGGACGTGGCCTCCCGTGGCGCTGCTTTAGGAATCATGGGAGGGGGTCCTTGTTACAGCCCCTCACCAGCTCCTCACCTTGTAACTGTCTCACAGACAGGTGCTGGGGCAGGGCTTCCGGGTGGCAGGCCCCACTCAGAATTCATGGCCCACAGGGAGGGGCTGGCCAGCAGGTGCTGTGGAAGAGGACGGCGGGAGCCTGGGTGCCTCCCCAGTGGACCAGGGCTGGTGTTCTTAAGGGAGGGCCTGGAGGCCCCTGGCCCTCCATCCCCCACCCCAGGGATCCTAGAGAACTTTCACCTCAAAACCTTTCTAAGCAAAGTGTGAATAGGATTTTTACTCCCTTTGTACAGTATTCTGAGAAATGCAAATAAAAGGCATCGTGTTCCTGTTTGTGCCTTCTCTGACATCTCTTCTTGGAGGGTCACAGGGTGGGCGGTGGGCAGTGGGCAGCCACTCCTGCTGGATATAGTGGTGGCCACACAAGGTCCTCTGATAGGATGTTGGAATGGACCCTGGAACAAAACGAAGAAAAGCCCTCCTTGGAGACCCCTGAGGGAGCTGGCACTGATGGCCGCATGTCAGAGGGCAGGATTCTGCTGCAGTGTCTTTACTTGGCTGTTCCTTTCTGGAGTCTCACACACTCAGGGGGCCTTTGCCTGGGCCCAGGACAGGGCAGTCTAGCTCTGGTTGTACAAATGAGGCCAGGATCCTTTTTTCTGACTTCCCTGTCCCAGCCCAGTTTCTCCTTCTCATTGCAAGGCCTTACTGCTGTGTCTTCTCCATACCCACCCATCCCAAGACATCTCCACGCTTCCCGCTCCCACTGTGAGTGGCAAGGTGTCAGGGAGACTGGCTGGCAGGGAGGGGGGAGGCCTAGAGCCAAGGGATCCTTATCTCCTGAAGGTGCCATCGTCCAGGGTGTTTTGTGTGGTATTAGCTGCTAGTCCCAGCACAGGTACAAAGTCCCAGCTGGGAGGGAGGTGCTGTCCCAAGCTACCTGGGCCCCCTCTGGCTCTGGCCCAGCATTACAACATCCTGGCATCGGATGAGGGGCGGGAGTGTTGGTGAGGTGAGAGTCTGTACCCAAATATGATTGCCAGTTCCTCCCCTCTCGGGGTCCCATGCAGCATGAGCACGGGGAGGAGAAATGCAGCCATTGGGTTCAGTCCTGGAAGTCGGAGCATTGTGGTTGCTTCCATAACCGGCCCAAGTAGACTGGGGGCCCCGTCAGTCACTATCTGGTCCTGGCTCTGCCATTTGCTAGCTGTGTGGTCTTGGCATGCCACTCCTCTTCTCTTCTCTCCTCTTCTCTTCTCTTCTCTTCTCTTCTCTTCTCTTCTCTTCTCTTCTCTTCTCTTCTCTTCTCTTCTCTTCTCTTCTCTTCTCTTCTTTTTTTAATTGGGAAAGCAGATATACAGAGAGCAGATACTGGGAGAAAGATCTGTCTGTTGGTTCAGTCCCTAAGCAGTTGCAACAGCCATAGCTGAGCCAATCTGAAGCCAGAAGCCAGGTTCTTCTGGGTCTTCCATGTAGGTGCAGGGGCCATTTTTGAGTGCTTTCCTAGGCCACAGGCAGGTAGCTGGATGGGAAATGGAGCAACCAGGATTAGAACCAGCACCCATATGGGATTGCAGCGTGTGCAAGGCAAGGACTTCAGCCACTAGGCTACCGCACTTGGCCCAGCACACCACTTCTGCCAGCTCAATTTCTTTCTCTGTTTTGCAGGGTTGGGGATACCTCTGAGGCGCTGTTAGGGCAGTGCTGGCTGGCGTGGAGTTGGTAGCCACATCTATCTTTGTTACACTGTTGTCATCATCATCATTGTTTCTGAACCATTCCATGTGCCAGAACACAGACTGGGTACACCAGCCTGGCTATTTCTAAGGGAGAGTGGAGGGGTGAGGCTGGAATTGGGATAGCCCCTAGGTTGTGGGAGATGGTGGGAGTGGGCTGAATCTACTGTGTTGGCCCCTCCCTTCCCCTGCAGGTGCCTCTCTTTTGTGCCCACTATAGCATGGTGTTTGAGGAGCTGGTCCTTGCTGGTTTACTCCTCATATCCCTGGCATGGCCATTGCCTGCTGGATGCTGGTTGATGGTCACCAGATCTCATTCTGAGCTCCCCGGGCTGCACAGCTCAGGAAGGCTGCCTCTGAGACATTTTTTTGGACCCAGACTCACTGAGATTGTTTATTAGGGTCTTCTGTTCATGGTCCTGAGAGGAACCGTGCAGAGATCTGAAAAACAGGGGCTTTCTACAGTCTCTTTCTGGTGAGTGGGCAATAATAGAGAGGAGGTAGGTGGGTGACTTCAGTGTGGGCCTGCCTTTCCAGCCCCCTAGAGGAATTCCCAGGTTGGGAGTGGAGTAATAGCCACCATGATTGGGCCTGGGGCAGAGAAAGGGGGCACTGGGGAGTGGGCTGTGGGCCAGGCTGCTGAAGGGACTTGGAAACAGGGCAGCGACCGGATGGGGCACTGGAGACCTCGGAGGCTTTTGTTCCCCTCTGCCTCAGTGATCATGGCCTCCTGGGGAAATAGTTGGCAGAGAGACATGTGTCTCAGTGCCTGGCAGAACACAGCAAGGGCAGGAGGCTCGGGGATCAGGGCCAGGGCAGAACTGGCATAGTTGGTGATGTGCAGCCTGGCAGACCCATACCCCATTGCCCCTTCCCACCTTGTTTGGGTTGATGAGGGGCCTGGTGGGGAGTGGTGGGGTTGCTTTTTTTCCTAAGAACAAGATGGCAGTTCTGCCATGGGAGATGCCGAGAACAGTGCTTTCTTTCCTCTAGATGAGTCCAGGAAGGGCAGTGAAGAGTCCAGGAGGTGGAATGTTCACTTTCTCCTCCTGTGTCATGGCTGCAATGTGGGCCGGCTGGGACCTGGTTGGCCTGGTACTTTTAGCTCTTCCTTGTTTTCAGGCTGCCAAAGGCAGAAGATGAGCAAGATGGATCTTCCCAGTGGGTCGAGGCACAAGGCCCAGACTATTGGAGTAACCCACAGAGTTGTGGTCCAAGAGCTGGATGTTGGAAGGGGTAGTCTTGCTGTCAGAAGCATCTCTGATGTTGGCAGATCTCACTGCTTCCTTGTGGTGAGGCAGGGGATGCCAGTACTGTAGGGTGCGTTACACCCTGCAGGACACACTGGAGAGAGAGGCGGCTAAGAGCTATTTGGAGGGTTGGCTTCTAGATGCAGAGATGAGATGGTCAGCCAGGAAGCCTTGCCCATTCCTGCTTCATCCCATTCTCTACCGGTCACTCTCAGCCAACTCAACCTATCAATTTGTATAAACTTATGTGCACACCTCAGTTTATGAAACAGAAGAAGGGTGGCACAATGGCTCAGCTGGGTACTCCTCTACCTGCAAGCGTCAGCATTCCCATATGGGTACCAGTTTGTGTCCTGGCTGCTTTACTTCCAGTCCAGTTCCCTATTATGACTTGGGAAATCAGCAGAGGATAGGCTCAAAGCCTTGGGACCCTGCAATTGGGACCACTTGAGGAATAAACCAGTGGATGGAAGATCTTTTTGTCTCTCTTTTCTTCTTGTAAGTCTGTCTTTCCAATAAAAGTAAATAAATCTTAAAAAATAAAAAGCTACATGGGATGAGGGGAGAATTGTTGATGCTGAATATTGTTCTTCAAGTTTGCCATTCCCATTTTTTCCCTTTATAATTTGCTTTTGAAAAAAAAATTTAAAAATTCTTTAAAAGATTTATTCTTTTTATTTGAAAGGCAGATTCACAGAGGAGGTAAGGCACAGAGAGTAAGGCCTTCCATTTGCTGGTTCACTCCCCAGATGGCCACACAGTTGGAGTTAAGCTGATCTGAAGCCAGGAGCTTCATCCAGGTCTCCCACATGGGTACAGAGGCCCAAAGACCTGAGCCAATATTGGCTGCTTTCCCAGGCCATAAGCAGGGAGTTGGATGGAAAGTGGAGCAGCTGGGGTATGAAATGATACCCATTTGGGATGCCAGCACCATAGGCAGAGGCCCAGCTTATTATACTATGAAATCTTTTTAAACGTTTGAGAGGTGGACATGGAAGGAACAAGGGCTGTCCTGTTGTTTTTCTCTCCAGGGGCTCAGAGAAGCTGGGCCCAAGCATGTGGCAGAAACCCGTGTGAATGATAGGAGCACTATCACCTAAGCCATCACCGTTGCCTTCCAGGGTCTGCACTGGTGGGAAGCTGGGGTTAGAAGCCAGGGGCCATGCTTCACCTGGGGACACAGCACTTTCTTGTTTCCCCTCCACCCTCCTTTATTAGAAAGGCAGAGTCATAGACACGGATTTTTCACCCACTGGTTCACTCCCCAAATGGCCACAACAACCAGGGCAGAGCCAGGGTAGGATAAGCTGAAACCAGGAGCTAGGAATACCGTCTGGGTCTCCCATCTGGAAGACATCCAAGTACCTGAGCTTTCACCCCCTGCCTCCCGGGATGCATACATGCAGGAAACTGGATCCAAAGCAGAGTAGCCTGGACTTCTGACCCAAGCAGTGGCTTCACCCAAGTCTCCCCAAATGGCCACCCTCTCAGGATTTTTACCTGCATCTCTGTGGGCTCTTGCCTCTGTAATTGGCTTTTGCATTGGCTTCACCTCTTTTTCATGTAGGTAGATAAGTAAACTAAGGCATTTTGCCTGAGAGTTAGGAAAGCATGCAGGCTTTGGAGCTGGAGCTGCCTGTCTGAGGTCTGGCCAGCTGCTTACCAGTTGGGTGACCTCTGGGCAAGTTGCTTCATCTCTGTTTCACTTTTCTCATGTCTGCTCTGGGGGTCTGTTTTGTAAGCATTCCAGGAGAGGGGCCAATGCCTAGAGGGTAAAGGTGCTTTTTGCCTCCCATATGGGCACTGGATCAAGTCCAGGCTGCTCTACTTCCTATTTGCCTGACTCCCTGCATCCACGTGGGAAGCATATGCAAACTTGTTATCTCTCTGTAACTCTGCCTTAAAAACAAAACAAAACAAACAAACAAATAAAAAACCCAAGAGTCCAGGGAGGACCACATGAATTATCACAGTGCCTGACCCTGAAGGAGCCTCTTACAGGAAACCTTGTAGGCATTCTGCTGGTGGCTATTATTGCCATCCTCCTGTTGGGTTTCCTGGATGTCCTGGAAGTGGCTGGTGGGCAGAAATCCCTACGGGCTTGAAGACATTAGTAGAGGTGGCAAAATGACTCCACTCTCCTGTCTCTAAGCTAACTTGTTGCCTGGCCTTCTCAAGTTTCAGACGCCCCAGGCTAAGCCTTGTTTCACCCTCAGAGGCCGGTTGGTCCACACCAGGTTTCATAACAAGAAGTGGTGAAGTGGCAGGATCTGCACAGCCCAGGCCTCTCACAAACAAGGCCATTTTAGGCTTGGTCTCATACCAACAGGTGGTGTGAGACCAAAGA